CTAATGTCGATGACATTCATGTGTCTTTCTGGCAGAGTTGACTGATCACAGGCGCCCCTGAAAACGTTATCTTATCAGATAAAAAAGATGTTGACATGGTTGGGGACATAATTTGAAGTTGAAAAAGGCAATGAAATGAAACATATGTTAACGCAATACTCAGCACATCACAAAATGTTTAAATTCCCAATAATATTGTATCTAGACTTAAGTATTGTGATGACATCATACTGTGGGGCCTCTGGTGCTACTATATTTAGAAGTGCCATAAAAAATGTTATTGTTTTTACATTTTTGAGCCTGGGGGCTGTTATAGCGCAGTAGCATTGTCAAAAAATATCAATTCATCAATGCATATCACTTCTGAATGTTTAAATACTCATTTTCTGCAGTATGGATACACCTGTAACACCTGCGCTTTCTCACTGTCTTTTGTTCATGTTTACTACAATCATACTGCTTCTCTGCTACCAAACAAGAAAAGTCACCGTTGTCATGTTATAGCCTTGTTATATTAATTCTTTAATAAAACATAACATGCCCTCATTGTTATTTATTTCCCACAGTATCAATAACAGCATTGTATATCGTTATGTTTCAAGGTATTGTATCAACGTTAGAAGCTCCAGTATCATGACAACACTGTAATGTAGCACTTTTATTGTCTCCCCTGTTAATTAAACTAAGCTGAAGAACCACACAGAAGCTTAAAAAGTTCTTTCAGTGGCATTGGTGCTACAGAGCACCTCAACCCACACCAAAAAATTGCTGAGGAACCATTTCACACTCCTACCACTCTGTTCTTCATCATGGACCCCCACACTGTGATGCTGTGTTTAATAAACCAGACAAACACTGCACCTACCACAGACTCCACCTCAAAGCCGAGCATGTGCAGGTCATCTTTGCCCTCCTTCCTCCCGATCTCCATCAGGTTCTTCACCAGCGCTGGCAGGTGTCCCTTCTTGTGCTTCACCACCACCAGGTCACCCTGAGACAGCGCACAGATGGCGGAGAACAGCTGGGGGTTACACAGCAGGTCCAGGCGTTTGCTTGCAGGGGAGATGAAGAGCAGGAGCTGGGCCTGGTGTCGGGTCAGAGGGTATGTGTCCTCCCTCCTCACGATGCCTCCGCTCTTGGGACTCACTGCGCTGCTGCCGCCGCCGGAGTACAGCAGCCCCAACAGCTCTCCCCGCTGCACCTCCGCCTCCACACGGCCGATACATCCTCTGCAGAAGAAGCCTTTCCTCGACTTCCCGCGTATCACGATGAAAAGCTTATCCTTTACTACAGTTTTGTTCTCCATATTTCCACCAGCAGAGTCTGTTGAACAGTTCTGGAGCAGAAGTACCTGTAGCAATACGACAGGAGTTACACGGTATTATAAAGGTGTGAGAAAATACATTGCGCAAAAAAAACAAAAAACAAAAATTAACAACTCATTGTGTCATGGACAATACAGTCACAAAGCCATAAACTGTATATTAAAATTACCTGATATAAGTGTAAAAATAAGAATATTGTGTAGCCTACAGTAGATATAATCCTAACACTTGCCTGCAAGAGCGAGCTTTGAGATGGGAAATAAGATATTCCACCTCTTTATATCACCAAACCTGCTCTGTAACTTTGACATTGAATACATTTCTAACCACCAACAATAATCAGAGTCGATTTAGCCTAACATAGAAACCGCAAGCTGACTTACTGTGTTTATTTGTCAAGAGCAGTTACTCTACGACAGGTTGCTCCACTGTTGCAGCATGGATTAATTGCCCACAAAAGCAGCAGGTGCCTCCGGACCTGGAAACTCTCTTCCTCCTGACTTCTACTGGGTAGGTGGGTTAACCTGCAGGACTTTAAATACTGACCCGGATGTGACCGACTACGCCCACTTGGCAGCTCCCAACATCTCCGCCCTCAAGTGTCCTCTCAACTAGATTTCCGCAACAATGCATGACTGTAGATTTGATAAGGAAAGGGAGGATATTGTTGAATTAAGTCTGTATCTTTTAACTCAGAGAGGCTGCAGATTTGTCATGCAGTAACTGCCCAATGCAGATGTAGATGTATTAAGCCAGACAACTTTGTTTTCATAAATGAATTAACAAATGTCAAGAGAGCACTGCAATGTATAAAGCCGAACAACCAATGCACATTTACAAAATATCCCTTATCGATATATGAGTAGACCTCTGACACATTTATTAATTAGTTTTTAGTTTGCTTTCCATATATTTTGAGCTTAGTCTTTATTCAGTACTGTTTGCACTTAATTATTAGCTTAATGTAACGGCCACACTTTGTTACTTATTTTAAAAAGTGTATATTCAGTTCATTCTCTAAGGGAAATGCTCATAGCTTTAAACCATAGCTCTCAGTTAAGTCAGTTTAATTTTGATCGCAATTTTTCTGCATCGTACTGAGAAAGTACAGAGACAATACATATATTTCTATTACTTGGACTGCTGTTGTCCCAAGTTTGCTTCACTCCATAAGTGTAGATTTTAGGGGGGACTCTGGGGACACGTCCCCCTTAATATTTAGAACATGTCCCAGTTAATAAAAATATTAAAGTAACAAAGTATTTCACCAAAATTAATGACATTTACACCATACACTGATGAAGAAAAAGCACAAATTGGTGCATAAGAATGAAGTGTTTGATGCTCTTAAGTTTGTGGTAGAGGACCCTCAAACCCCCGGTTTCATATGTGCCCCCCTCCCCAATATTGAAACAAAATCTGTGCCCTTGTTTAGCTGACTCTTGTCTAGTTGCCCTCCCTTACACAGACTGCTCTCATTATTTGACACTATGATAAGCCCCAAAAAACGTCAGTGCAGCTTAATTTCTCAGAATAAAGTTAAATGAAAACAGAGTCTCCATTTTCTGCTTGTTGAGGCGTCATAGTCATCTTAAAAAAACATGGGACTTCGCTATATATATATATATATATATA